ATATATGATCTCTACATCAAGGACCCAGTTTCATACATAATCTCTACATCAAGGACCCAGTTTCATACATAATCTCTACATCAAGGACCCAGTTTCATACATAATCTCTACATTGAGGACCCAGTTTCATACATAATCTCTACATTGAGGACCCAGTTTCATACATAATCTCTACATCGAGGACCCAGTTTCATACATGATCTCTAGATCGAGGACCCAGTTTCATATATGATCTCTACATCAAGGACCCAGTTTCATACATAATCTCTACATCAAGGACCCAGTTTCATACATAATCTCTACATCAAGGACCCAGTTTCATATATGATCTCTACATCAAGGACCCAGTTTCATACATGATCTCTACATCAAGGACCCAGTTTCATACATAATCTCTACATCAAGGACCCAGTTTCATACATAATCTCTACATCAAGGACCCAGTTTCATACATGATCTCTACATCAAGGACCCAGTTTCATACATGATCTCTACATCAAGGACCCAGTTTCATACATGATCTCTACATAGAGGACCCAGCTTCATACATGATCTCTACATAGAGGACCCAGCTTCATACATGATCTCTACATAGAGGACCCAGCTTCATACATGATCTCTACATAGAGGACCCAGCTTCATACATGATCTCTACATCAAGGACCAGCTTCATACATGATCTCTACATCAAGGAACCAGCTTCATACATGATCTCTACATCAAGGACCCAGTTTCATACATAATCTCTACATCAAAGACCCAGTTTCATATATGATCTCTACATTGAGGACCCAGTTTCATACATGATCTCTACATTGAGGACCCAGTTTCATACATGATCTCTACATCGAGGACCCAGTTTCATACATGATCTCTACATCGAGGACCCAGTTTCATACATGATCTCTACATCGAGGACCCAGTTTCATACATGATCTCTACATCGAGGACCCAGTTTCATACATGATCTCTACATCAAGGACCCAGTTTCAAGCCATCTTGCTGCTAACTTTAATGTCGTACAATTGAAATTTCTTTTTCTCTTTAATCTTACAGCTTTATATTATGACATTTTTATCCCAAAAAATACTTAAGTTACAAAAAATGGTAAAATTTATGAAAAAAAAAACTAAAACAGTAAATCACCACTAAATTTTCACTCTTTACATAATAAGTGACGACTAATAGAAGCAAAAAACATAATTTTTACCATAATAAAATGAACATCTAACAAGATTTATCAGATGTCCAGAACTTCAAATATATTTTTAAATGCTTGCATTGAAGGCCTAATGTATAAATCAGTTTAGAATTATAAGTACATTCCTTACAAAAAAATTAAAACAAGATTAAATGATAGAAGTATTTTCATTAAACCTTTCTGGGTATACTAGCACTACAATTATCCTATATAATTAGCAAACTGAACAACAAAACTAAAACCTTGCAGAAAATAAAATAAATTAATTATTTAGACTATATTTTCAGTTATACAAGTTATTTCTTTTATTGTTGATTATTTTTCTTTAATTAACAAATTCTGCTCATTGATTTTAAGTTTACTAGATTTGCCTTCTAGTAGTTTAAGTAAGTGATCTAAAATAGTGGTCTGCAGTATGCTATGTGGACACCTGAGCAGGGTTAGTTAAAAATTCTACATGGTATAAATACTATTATTCCTTCATGTAATGTTCTACATATACATACATACATAGCACTATATAGCAAATTGCTAATACTACTTAATAGTCTTTTACTTACTGTGTTTTGGCCAATCAAATCAGAAACGAGAGACAGGCTTGTAATCAGCATGGTAGAACCTCCTAGTCCTATCAGGACGGCTACAGCATATATCTCTCTGTATCGGTAAGTGTCATTACATCCCAAATATAGCCACACAGAAGCACCAATCGCTGACGATACTCCAAAAACATAGGTTATCTAAACAAAATATGTCTTAAACTACTTTTACCCGCATAAAGTAACCAAGATGGCTAAATTGTTTTATAAACTCTTCATTTGTTTTGGATATTCCTAAAAAGCTATATAATGGCTATTTAAGCTAGCTGTCACTGATTCTGAACTGATAGAATAGAGAGAAGACAGCAAAGAACACCACCAATTTTTATGCTATTCTAATCAAATATTGGGATTTGACTGTCAATCTTATAATACATCTATGACCTCAATAACAGGATGTAAACCATGTACCCTCAGATCCACACTGACCAGTAGGCCCAGTCCAGCCCATTTGCATTGCCAATAACAAATTATTGCCCATACTCTCCACAATAAATGAAGGAATTCATATACATATTAATAGAAAACAGTTGTTTACTACTTAACAACAAAAAAAATGAAAGAAGACCAAAGATTTAATGAAAGAAGGCCAAAAATTTAATGAAAGAAGGCCAAAAATTTAATGAAAGAAGGCCAAAGATTTAATGAAAGAAGGCCAAAGATTTAATGAAAGAAGGCTAAAGATTTAATGAAAGGCCAAAGATTTAATGAAAGAAGGCCAAAGATTTAATGAAAGAAGGCCAAAGATTTAATGAAAGAAGGCCAAAGATTTAATGAAAGAAGGCCAAAGATTT